AAATCTCTTACCAGCTGAGCTAAGCACTAACTAACTGGTTAAACCAGCATATACTGATATCCACAGACAGAGCACAGTCAGGAGAACTGGGAAAGCCTGCTTTGCCCTCCCTTGCACTGCTGCCATCTGTGAGGGCTTCCTGCCCTCTGACAGCTTTATGTGCACTGCAGGGTGGGCACGAGCAGTCCTGGGAAGCCCCTTCCTTCTGGGGCACAGCGTGGCACAGCAACGTCAAACTTCCTGACCACAGTCCCTCTCGAGTCAGGGGTTAAACTCAGGTGGGATTTCTGAGTGCCAGGTCTGTACCATCTCTTCTGATCAAAACAGGGGGCTGATTAGGTTTCACTCGGCCAGAATTTGGAAGAAGGACAGGGAGCAACGAATGTGCTGTGTCAGAAAAAGCAGCCTCAAACCGGAATTCTTTTATGGGAACAAAAGTTATTATGGAAATGTTTCCCAGCTGTGTGTAGTCCTGTTGTCTGAGGGATGTTGTGCATATACCTTGCGCTGGGATGCAGATTTTTTTTCTTAAGCCTAAAGCCAAATGAATATAAATACTTAATATCTGGCTTATTCTTATTCATTTGCATGTCTGCCATGAACCAGACTAATACATAAATGATAACTGTGAGGTTTGTTGGACTGAATATGGTCCTGATCCCAGAATTCTGGACTCAGTAGAAAGATATCTCTGCCTTACACAGGCACTGAGACATTTGGTTATATCCAGAATTGTTCAGTTGCCTCTTTGGATGTTATTCTCATGTACTCACATTCCAAAGTAGCATTATATTATGTTACAGCTGTTACATTTCTGCTGTGTTTTGGATTTGTTGTTTTGTTGTTTTTTTTTTAAGGTGAAAATATGTAGATAGTTCAAATTATTTTGAAGTTTAAAGTGCTATTCCTGTACAGCCTCATTACAGGGACAAGTCACTGCAGCTCTGAAAGCCCCATGATTTACAAGTGATACCTTTACAATATCTGTGCAGTGAGGATATAGATAAGACACTGATTTGAAGTTTCAGACTTGAATAAGTTCATGTTCTGTGAATAAATTGCAGTTTTGAATGTGTTCACTGGGGTGTGAGAGATTGTTGTTTATTCTGTCTCTATGCCATCATCTGCAAATTGCTTAATAGTATAAATAAATGTTACATAAATCTTAAAGGGTTTTTTTAAGAAGCAAAAGCAAAAAATAATAGTGGAAGGCTTTAATTTGTGGTTGTTGTCCTGTTGAGTTCCTGTTTGATTATCTGCAACATGCAGATTCTGTTTAAGCCTTGTAACATTTGCTGATATTTTAATATGAGGTTAGGCTGAGAAATGACTATGATTGTTCTTGCTGGCTTGAAACTGGATGGCTGATAGTGTTAATCTCTACAAGACCCAGTGCTTTGATGGACTTTGCCACCCTCAGGGCATTGGATCTGCTCATGAGGAAGCTCCTAAACCATGGCAGCCTTCAGTGTGCATATGAACCATCCAGATGCCCCAGAGCAGTGGCAGACAGTGATCCCCAGTCACAAGGGCTTCCAGGATGGAGTGTGTGTGATGGCAGGGCTGCAGACAGTGCCAGGAAACTGCCTGGGCTGTGTTAAGCTAAGCCTGTTTGACCATGTTGAAGTCTAACACTAAATCTGACACATGTCCTGCTTCTCAGCACTTGAGGAGAGAAGGCAGGGCTTGTTGGCAGAGTGAGCAGCATGAGCCTCTTGAATAGCTGACATTGTGACCCGTGGCAGCTCTGATCCAAAGACAGGCTGGATTTCAGAATCACAGAATCAATTAGGTTGGAAAAGACCTCTGAGATCATTGAGTCCCACCTGACTGAACACCACCTTGTCTACTAGACCATGGCAGTAAGTGCCATGTCCAGTCTCTTCTCAAATACCTCCAGGGACAGTGACTCTGCCTCCTCCCTGGGCAGCCCATTCCAGTGCCCACTCACCCTCTCTGTCAGAACTTCAGTAACAATTTTGTGCATGTAGGACTTGGTGTGCTGTCCTTGACCAAACTGCTCTTCATCAGCTGTTCCTTACAACCGTAGGGAAGCATGAGGAGAAAAAAGTCTTGGGTTCAACAACCCTTGGTTCTTTACTTCTGGCACATGCTCATGTGGTAGAGCTGGGAAGCTGTCTCAGCATGGGGGCAGTACAACTCATCTGTCTGCAAAAAACTGCCCTGACATGTTTTTTTTTCATCTGAGGGGTATTCTGCTGGTTAGATATTTTTTTCATCAGTAGCCAACAAACAAACTTTGCAGCTGGCAAAACCAACAATTTATTCAGCTGCTATGAATTTGTTTTTTCTCTCTTGTTTCTCTTCTCTGTACTAAACTTCAAAAAGTAAATTAATACTGGTATTGAGGCCAGTCCAAAATTTCCATGGTATTACAGACCTACTCAGTTAACTTTGATTGCTTATGTAAGACTGAAGTAATCCATGTTTGGTGTGGGACTGGTTTGCTGGGAGGATATGGATGTGTTTTTAATTATCAAAGAACTTTGTCATCTCAGATTGAAATAGCCAAAGACATTTTTCTTTCTTTTATGGCTATTCGTGTTTTCTACCACTTGAGTTTGTTTCCATCTTAGCAAAATGAGAAAGAATCAAAAGTCTCTTGATCTAAATCTTTTATTCGTACTGGACTGAAAAGGTATTGAGTTGCTTATATGACAATCAGTACCTGACAGATGTAACATCTCTTTCTAATGCCCTTTAGGCAATGTTTCTTAATGTAAAAAGTAGTATAACAAAAGGAAAGAAAATCTGGGGCTTTGGTTTACCTTCTTTTCTTGTTAAAGAAGGTGAGGAGTTGAAATGTCACAGATGAACTGAGACTACATCCTGCAGCTAGAGACTGTAAAGAGAATTTAAAGAAACCTTTTAAAAAAAGTCTTACATAGTATTATCAATTCCTATATAAAATAATTTAATATTTTAAGTACTATTTAAATAATTTTTCTGTATTTAAAACTAACTTTTTAAATTTTATGTTTGGAACTTTTTTGGCATTAACACAAATAAAATTTTTAAAATATTAAAAAGTCTTTTAAATATTCAATACAATTCAATATAAAAACAGAAAAAGCAGTATACATTGTTCACACATAGTATTGTACATGACAGCTGAGCTCTAGAGTGAGCTTTTGAATTTGTCAGGCAAGCCACAGCTTAGTTGTGGTGAACCACTTGCTTACCCTCTGGACTCTTAAGATTATAACAGATCCTTCCCATCAATATGTAGTCTTTAATATTATATACACATACTCTATACAGAATTTAATTTCCATCCCTATGCCCAAATAGTAAATAAATATTTTTTCACAGCGTTTAGATCAAAATATTGTTTAGCATACACAAATATATTTGACACACACAGTTTGACAAGAAACATACCCATTTTGCTCTGCTCAGTTACAGGGGAATGGGACTCACAGGTGCAAAAGAACATAATGGAGGAATTGTCACTGCTATATTTAAAATGTATAATAAACTTACTACCAAATGTTTACAGGTTGTGTTAACAGCAGGAAAATGAGGGTTCCCTTGTCCCCTTGGTGCATTTCCATGAATCCTGCCAGCCATGAAGGCAGTGGAGGAGGCAGAGTGCTGGTGCCTCACAGCTCCTCTGTCTCACACCTCTGGAGTTCTCTGCCCGTGTCACAAACTCCCTGTTACAGACTTTGGCAGGACTTCACTAAAAGCCAAGCACCAGGCTCCAGTTTTTAAGCCCAGGCGTGTCTGTCACTGATAATGGAGTTTACTGTCAAATTATAACTTGCTTTCTCCATCCTCCTGTATTTAGCAAGATGATTTCTACAGATACTGTAGGTGCATTTGGGTGGAAAGAGAGGGACTCTCATGCTTCCTACATTTCATGCATCATGTATCATGATTGCATTAATTGTGTCCCATTGTGCAAGACAGTCCTCAAAAGTCTTCATTTCTTCCTAGGAAATTATTCTCCAAGAGGACCCCAAAACTTTACAAAGACTAAATGGAACTCTCTATGTAGCTACTTAGGGATACTTGCAGAGAGGAAAACTACCAATGCAAATCAACATTCCCACCAGGAATGCCAGCCTAGGAACATTGCTCAGGGGAGCAGCACGTGCCACATGATATGTGTAGTTATTCACAAATGAACAAAACTCACATTTCAGATTTTGGACTCAAAGTTTCCCATTCATATGCAATCTACAAACTAGAAACTACTTGCAGGAATTAGTACATGGCTTATTGTTAATCCTTGTTCCTGAAAACATAACTCCTTTATAGGTAATTCTATGGTTTCAGGATGAGCTTTCAAGGTGGTGTTGAATGTTTTGCTCGTGTCTTTGCAGTGTAAGATTCTAATGCACCTTCAGGAGGGCAGAATTCACAAACTGTGAGAGATATCCTGCCTTCCTTTCACTCCTCCTGCCTGTCTCAGGCAGGAAGGTGCTGGCACAAGGTGTTCACTCAGGTGATGGATGCTACCTGTGGTGACTCTAGGCTTGGTCTACATGAAATTTGGTTCTCCTGCTTTCAGGGGAGCAGACTCTGAAAAGGAAATCATTACCTAGGGAGAATAAGCATTTCAGTCACTTTATTTTAATCCATCTTAGAAGATAAACTGAGGCCTTGAGTTTATTTCACAGTAAAAACATGGTACAACAGGCCCCTGTTCGTGTCTCTGAAGACCTCAGCCAAAAAATGGGGATTTTGCAGGATAAAACAAGCAGCCAGTGCCAAAGTAATCCTCCCCCACATCTTTAACCACTTACATCACTGGTTGGGAATATTGGTGTGCCAGCAAGGGATTAATTCTCAGCTGTTTTGTACACACAAAGTTTCAGGTCCTGGTATTCTCAGCTCAGTCCTTTTCATTAAGACATCAAAGTGACATGAACTATTAGTTTTGCCTTTGCAAAAGTCTGTCTAGGAGAATTTGTATTTAAGTCTTAACCTTTCTGTGGATGTATATGCTATGTATATATAAATGATAAATAGTTTGTATCAGACCTGAAAAGCTTTATTACTCATTAGTACTCATCTGATGATAAACTGAGCAGAAAAGGTGCAGTTTTCTTGTAGAGACAAAGTTATGGTGACTCAACAGAAGGAGTTCTAGAGAAGGCTAAGCACACAGCAGATCAAACATTCCATTTTTAAATGAAAACATTGATCTCAGGATTTAATGGCTTCCTTGCTTTTGAGTCCTCACTTATGCTTAAGCCTGTACAAGACACTGAGTTACTTTTCCCACACTGAAGTCTGGTTAGCAGTAAAGAGACAAGTGTGGGGGTTGTTGGGTTTTTTTTAAACAAGTGATGATAAAGGCATCCTAAATCAATCATTTTCTTTTTGGTAGTTAAAAAGGTCATCAGTTGGAAGAATGCCTTTCTGGGGAGAAGGAAGAAGTAGTAAACACTGCACAAATTACTGTGAAGCCTGTTTAAGAATTCAGGCCATATTTCTAGGTCAGATCCAGAAAGATACGGAAGGACACGTTATATGGTGTGTCCCCTCAACTTTCAGATCTTTGATTCAGAATTCTGAAAGTCATTTCTGCTCTATTCAAAGTGCATGGAGGGAGGTACAGGCTGACTGGTTGTGAGTGAGCTGGAGAGCTACACATGACAGCTCAGTAAGAAGCAGTAACCAAAAAGCCAACTAATTCTCCCTTTTCTCTCTGTTGTTTGAGCATCCATGTGGATTTTATCCCCTCCTAAACATCAGTGTTTACAATCACTCATTCTAATGGTTAAGATGGACCACGTTATCCTTTGTAGCAAAATCTGGAAGAAGTGACATTTCTGGCATTGTCTACTTCTTATTTTGTAATGGCCAGTTCAAATGTGTGTGAGAGACTGTGGTGCAACACTGTCATTCTGAAGGGACTCACAGCCACTGCATTTTCAACAAAAGAGTGCTCAAAGGAGCTGTGCCCAGGCAGCCCAGAGAGAAATCCTTAGCTTCCCTTCCAAAATGGTGCCACTCTTCCAAAAGGAACTCAGGACCAGAGAGGGGGGCAAAAGAAAGCAGACAATGAGAAGCAGTACACTCATTAGAAACAAGCAATCAAAAACCCCACGTTCTTATTTGCTACATACCATTCAGAGAAGCAGGTTCTAGTTAGGAGTTAAGCAAAATCTTTAGACACGGCCTCTACAAAGTTTGGTGCTGACATTAAAATACCAATTGTACAAATGATGGTGAAGACTGAAAAGGCCATCAAGCAGAGCCGATCCACTACAGAGGCTGCAAACTTCCACTCGTTGCAAATGGCTTCCTCTTCATCCTGGTCTCTGAACCGGTTTGCAATGTACCTCACCTCTTCCAAAATCTTAGCCAGATCTGGGTCACCTTCAGAGGGGTGGCCACTGTGCAGCAGGTTTTCTTCATCTGTTGGTGAGCAGGTCATCCTGCCACAGATGACCCCTGAGTCGGTGGTAGGTGTGCAGTGAACCCCCTCCAGCCCCCTGAAGCCGATGTAGAGCATGTTGCCGTTGCTGGATTGCTGCCCACTCACGGTGTTCATCTCCACGCTGGACAGGCTGCAGCGGCGCTGCTTGTGTTGGCAGGCAGGACGCACCTTCTCCTCCCCTGGCCTTTTCATCCTCAGAAACCAAGCACACCAGTTCAGAAGGATGATCCTGGTCTGAAAGAAAAGGTTGAGAATAAACATCTCTTCACACAGCCACTGTCTTTGGGTGCTGCTGGTGTTGGTGCAGCCTGGGGGACTGTCTGGTCTGTGGTCTCTGCTTATTCTGAACCAGAAGTCCTAGAAAATGGGGACAGTTTTCCTGCTGATTAATTTGCCAATCACTGAGGTTGCTTGATTGCCAGCTTGCAGTGCTGTTGATTGCCTCAGACTGACTAGGAGCACTAGGACTTCCCCTTCCTCTGATGGGAGTCTCCATAGTCTCAAATACTGCTAATTTTTCCTGGTATTTGAACAGTGGTACGGCAATCTTTTCCACCTTTCCTGGAAACCATGGGTTCAACAAAATGAAACACTTACTGAGGAGGGGTTACTTTGTAATAGTCTTAATAGCACTACTTTGAATTGTAGTTAGTGAGTTTACAATTCTTTTACTTGTGTTTGTGCTCTAATATTAAATTCCCATGCCATTACTGTTTGACCACCAAGCTTCACAATGGTTTGGCTCTGTTTTCACGTTGCGTTCATGACAGTTGATTGCAGATTTTAGAAAACAGATCTTGATATAATATGGAGAAAAGACAGAAAAATTACTTTGATTTAAAAAATACTTTTCAGACTTAATCAGTGCGTATTATTCTGTTGTTTTCCACATTGCCTTAATCCAGCCTTACCAAAAGTGCAGGCAAGCCAGGGACTGTTCCAATTCTGATGAAAGCTCCTATAATTTATTTCAATCAGATTTTAAGGGCTCATTCCAGCATTTCTTTTCCAGAGCACTAATGAAATATTATTGTCTTGTATAACATGCAAATTTTACACTATAATTATATTTGGTCCATTTATTCTGACTGTGGATTGCCACTCAGAGTAGATTTTATATCCAGACAAGCATCCTAACCAGAGATAGATCTTTCCTTGTTACTCTCTTTACACTATCAAGGTTCACCAAGAAGGATAATATTCGTTAACTGTGGGCCTGATCCAAAATCCACCATATCCAACTCATGCTTGTTGGTCTTCAGCTTCTCAACACGACAGCTCACTGTTCAACCTCAAGTACTCTGTTTTCTGAGGACATTTGGCTCAGTTCTAAATATTTCTTCCCTTTCGGTCATCAAACATGAGTCTAAAGAGATACATCTTTTATTCTCTTCATTGAAATTTATTTTAAAGTCACTACTCCAAAATAGGCCAGGGAATATCTCATTATCTCTTATCCTCAGGGCACTGCTGTGTGCACATTCTTTCTGGCTAGTAAGGATAATAACAACTCATTGTTTTAGAGAGAAAAAAAGGAGAAAGGTCTCTCCATCTTCGGAAATGCCTGATGCTGCTGTGAGCTGGGGGAAGTCAGAAGAGGGGACAATTGGCTGATGATTCTCAGCAGTGTGTAGTAAACCAATATGAGCATAATGTTCTCTGTAAAAACAACCCCTCATAAAAGTGCATTCTAAAGAAAGTCTTATGTGCTTATAAATATGCTTTAATTCTTCTTTGCACTTCATAGATGTTCTTGAACTGAGATTCAAAGATCAGGATTTTCAGAGCAAGTTTCACTTCCCCTTTAACAGCCATCTTTAACAAATGCTTTTTAGGATATGGATGTTTCTGTATGGACAGCAGCTAAATATGTAGCAGTTGCACCTTGAGGGTAGTGTAGTTCATGCATTGATCATCTCCAGCAGCACCTTACTCTTTTATCTGTTTCACTTCAGATGTCTGGAGCTTATTTGAAAATCCCCTTCATTTATATACATAGCTTTAGCAAAATCCTGAGTTGCTTACAGCTGTTTTGAGGGATATTAGAAGCAAGTGGAGGTATATTCATTCTCTCTCTTGCACACACCTTCTCTAAGAAACCAACCACACAAAACATTTCACTTCTGGTGAAACTACTTTTCCAAACAAAATGTTTAGAAAGGATTTATATGTTTTTAACAGGCCCTCAGCTATCTGTCACATCCCTGACCTGGACATTTCTGAAATGGACAGTGAAGGAAAACCAAACCTTACCCATTTAGGCATTTTTCCGCCATCTGGATCATGGTGGTGGTATTGTAGAACAATAACAGTGACAACCACAGAAAGACCAACAATAATCATAGTGCTGGCAAAATACTGAGCTGCAAAATAAACAGATAATCACAACAACATCCTTTGGCTGATATAGCTTTTGTAAGGCCTGTTTCTATACATGCATACGTAGTGTTTAGCTCTTTTCCCAGTGTAGTGATACACATGCTACCTTAGGTACTTTTGAAAGACTTCTCAACAGCAGAAAGATCAGTCATTATTTAGAGCCAATGTTTAGCAATTGTTTTTGTGGAACTAAGCACCTGCCTCTTCTAAACAACCTTGAAAAAAATTGTCTTCTAATTTTCTTTGACCAGTATTATAGAGACTGGCTAGTACTTCTTTTGAAAGGTTTCTCTTTTTGTTTGAACAATTACAAGGGGCAGATTCCATTATGTTTAGCTCTAATTGGAGTTAGGAATACAGAGCATAATCTGGTGAATTCTGTCAAAATTGCAACAAATCTTCCATGGAAAATTGACTCCCTTGTGCTTTTCCCAAATACACATAGGTTCTCTGCTTCACTCAGAGCACCACCAGAGCCCCTCCTCAGCTGGCAGTATTTTCCTAACCCAGCTGCAGTGGGCACTGTGCAGGTGGGGATTTGCCTCCCTGCTGCCCTTGGGGCCCGTCACTGCACCCTGTCTGACCAACAACCCCGAGGGAATCCAAGCTCACCGATTAAGGGCACGGAGTCAGAGGTTGCTGGCATAATTTCAGCCACAAGCAGCATGAACACAGTGAGAGACAATAAAACTGTGATACCTGAAAGATAAACACGAGGTATGAAATCAGATCAGTAGCTTGTAACTACAACACACAGAGAAACAAAACGAATCTGAAGGAGTGCTCTTGGCGAGATCTATCCCACTGTGCCCCTGCACCAGCATGTTAGTGGTGCTCCTGTCCTTCTACCACCTCCAGCTCAAGGCAGCAGTGCTGCCAAAGTAGCACCAAAGCTTGCACAGACAGAGATATTTTTAGATCCTTGTAACTGTTCAGCTTTTCTGACCATTTGCTAATTAGCTGGGGTAAATCAAAGCAACTCTTGTACTGTGTTTGCTTTAGAAACATGGTGTGATTTTGAGTGTCTGAGCATGTGACACTTGATTAATTGTCATGGAAGCTACAGGTGGTGTCATGCATAAGTTTCCTGAAAAGCAGATTTGCTGTCTTGGATAGACTTTGATATTGTCTGATATCAGCTGTTGGGTTCTGCAGGGAGCTGTGCCCAAGCACTCTCGACTGTTGAGTTTTAGAGTCTGACTTCTGTTGCTCAGTGATGAGTTCCCATCTTTCTAGAACAAGGCTTAACTGTTTTCTCAGGACTAGTCTTACACAACCAGGAGTCATTGCCATCTGGGAAAGATTAAGGAACAAAGAATTCATCTTAAAATATTGGGAGGGACTACTTGTTTAGGAAGGCTATTGCTTGATGAGGGAGGCTACAACTTGATGAGGGAGGCTACCACTTGATGAGGGAGGCCACTACTCATTCTGGAGAAATGTCAGTTTTGTTTCTACCTTTAAACAGCTTTGTCTACTTAGTAGAAGCCAGTGCATCTGAATTTTTGTATGGGACTAAAGGTTTCTTTACATATTTAACCTCCATCTTAAAGATCAAACACTCAAAATCAGATTTGTTTCACAAACTAATACTTCAGTTAAAATTTGCTGTAAAAAGTAAAATAGGAGCAGTTAGAATCAATCTTTCTGAGAAGGCACTGTAGGCTTTTACTACAACTCAGTATTAAAAGGAAATATTGAGAAGAATTCCATGTTAAAGTGTTCAAATGCATATTTGTAAACTTAAGCTTTACTTAATGAATCTGAGATTTTTGTTAAGCAAATAAATGTCAAAAAATAAGACCCTGCTTCTTAAGGAAGGTAGCCAGGAATTGTTTGTGCTTCTGTTGGTTCACCATCAAACAGTAAGAATAGCTCATGAGCCAGAACAGGACCCACAGGCTACTCCTCCTGCTTACTAAGACTGTTGACAGGAATTTTTAAAAGGACAACTTCTTTTGGTTTAGTCATATTTACAATATGCTATTAATAACTTACCTAGTGAGATCTTTTCTCCTGAGTCTGCTGGAAGCAGGAAAACTAACAAAGCAAGTGCTGATATCAGTACACAAGGAATGAGGAGATTGAGTCCATAATAGAGAGTCCTACGTCTCATGGTTACTGTGAAGGTTACATCTGGGTAGGGTTCTTTACAACACTCATAAAAGCTCTCAGTCCTCTTCCCAGGAACTCCTGTGTAGGAGGAAAGAGGAAAAAAACCCAAAATTAATGTGAGTAAACTGTATATTATGTAGCAATTATTTTCTAAAAGGATAAATGTAGCTTTCTAAGTTCTACCACAGATAAAACTACTTCTTTAAGCTTAATTCCCAATTAAGTAATTTTTTCTCAGACCATGAAGGAAAATCAGATAAAAGATACTTACAGAACTCAAGCAGCAAATTTGCCACCTATTTTTTTATGTTGATTTGCATCTCACAGTTTCAAATGCCACCAGCCAGGGCATTTATTAATTTAATTTCTATCTTCATTTCACGATTGTTATTCCATCCATTTCAGCAGTGGGGACAAGGCTGCAAGTTCACAGTGTAAATAAGAAATCAAGAGCTTACCTACTAAATCCCACTCCCCATTTGAAATGTAGCCAGATATATCTGCTTCTTGCATCTGTAAGTCCAAGGACCAGCCTCCATAAGTCCAGGATCCAAACTTCAGGTTACATTTCTGAACGTCAAATGGAAACCAGCGCACATCTATGTAGCAGGAGCTTTTAAATATGCCTGGATGGGATTTGAAACAAGAACCCTGAATTTAAATGCTTCTTCCACAGAATTTCACATGTATTTTTTAACCAGAACTTGTTCTGCATCATGCCTTCTCTTTTTCACTTGCAAAGCGTATTTAACCTCAGTCGTGTCTTGACATGTAACGAGCAAAAGTCAGTCATGGCAAAGGGAAAGAACTGTACCAGTAATGTATTCATGTTACAAACTATTTCTTAATCAGTTTTTCCATTTTGGCACATAGTGGGAGAATATTTATAGAAGAGCTCGGATTTCTAGATCCTGTATTTCAGAAAGAAATGAAGCAGAATATGTAATCTGTTTCTATTTCTTTTACTGGCTAAAGCAAGAAATCCTGAAATATAAGAAATCCTGAAATATTATTTGCTATACTATTAGATTTCTATGATCTTGATGTACTCAGGAAAGCTAGCTTCTTATTTTTCACTTGTTGAGTCAGGCCCTGTCCTTTAGCAGCTTTCAGAATTGAGTTGAAAAGCCTCCACCAAATGGAATATCTTAAATCAAAAGAATAACAGGCAAACCCCTGAAATCCTCTTGGGATCTTAGGTGGAAAAACTAATTTGTCTGGAAAGCACTTGGCTCTACTGCTGTAGTTTCCAAAATTCAGATTCTGAGAAGAGTTAATTCTAATAATGATGCTAATTGAGTTGGGGAGCAGAAGCAGTACTCCACTGATATATATCCAAAGTCAGTCATATATCAAATAAATGGCTACTTTCCTCTCAGACTAAAAATTGTGTTGATGAAGCATCGAGTGAATCATTTTAAATAGAAATACATCCAAGACATTACTAAATATCTTACTGTAAAATCAACATATTAGTAAAAGAAACACTACATTAATTAAATAAATTTTTATTAAGAGGCATTACCACAGCTTTAATAAAAACTACCTTTTTATAGTAAGGAATTTTATTTTTTATCTTTTTTTAATACTTCCAAACTTCTGAAATTGTGCATTATGACAAAATTATTTACATAATTGTAATAAAACATGTATCTTTGTGGTGCTTTTCCTGCAAAGATGTAACGATGTAACTCATAATGCACCTAGACTTAAATCTATCAGATGATGCTAGCCAGATAAATAAAATATCAGAGAATTGATGTCAAATTTGAAACCACACCATGCACAAATGGTCTGAGTTACCAACATTTGTGGCATGCAAAGGGCCTACCTGGGGGCAGGTATTGGCAATGTCCTGAAGAATTGACTAAAACGTTGGTGTGAAAAGTCGCATCAAATCTTTCATCAGCACTAGAACAGGGAAGAAACAGAAGGGGTTATATGCTCTGTGACTGGCTGAAGAGTATCTGAGATAAATCTGTTCTTCATAGAAGGATTATTTCACCCCAAAAGCCAGACAGCTTTTCTCCTGTCACCAGTTTTGTGGCCTCAGTGTAGCTGCTCTGATACTGTTGGGTTTGTTCCTGGTTATCAGCCCTAAGTGAAGGTGGAGCCACCCCACTCCTGCTGCTCACCTGTCCCAGCACTCACTACAGTGCCTTGGCTCTATTGATTTCCATTTGGAAAGTAAGCTCTTTCTAAAAACCTCTCAAGCATCTGTACAGGTAACTCTGTTCTCCTGCTGTCTGTGTTACCAGCAGCTGATGAACACTGGGGAGATGGATCCTCCAGGGTCTGTGTCTTCCTGCCTTTTTTGCATGGCTGAACATCATTACTACCTGTCATAATGCAGCTCCAGCCTTCGTTATCCACCTCAGAACCCACAAACTGGGGTCAGAAAAAAAGGAAAAAGAGGTCCTATTAGAAGTGTCAGTGCAGTGGTGCTGGCCAGGACCACCCTGGTGTGCTGGTCTTACAAGTCTCTAGAAAAGAACCATAATGTTACATGGAGAATGCTCCAAGTTATTAACTGGTAGCTACTGCCAAGGAATATCTCAACTACATCTGGCACAATGTCCCAGGAATTTACTAGGCATTAACATTTTAAGAATTTCTGTACGGGAAACAACCTATTTTCAAATATTTAGATGATGAAATAATGACTCTTTCTTAGGAAAAGAAAGTAAGTTTGCTGACTAAACCCCAGAAACCTTTGGTAGAGATATTTAGATTACTTAGCATTGCAATGGACATTTACCCATTATAGTATTGTGCCTTATTTCACAGTTCCCATTTACTACTGGGGGTTTTTGCAGTAAGGGATTGGAGATTCTGATCTGTACATTCCTTAAAGCTCAGGGTCTGGGTATTCAAGAGATTGTCAGAGTGACTGGAATAGGTGCCTGGGTTAAACTGCACACAATGTGTTGGGAAGGACCAGCAGGGAATGGTGTCAGGAATGGCACTGGCAGTGAAGGGCATCTCGGAATTGTTTCAGGAACTGCTGTGTTGAAGTTTCTGATGTCTCTTTGCCTATTAGTGGTTCAGTACCTCATAATTTTCTAATCACCTTTTAAGACATTATCAGAAAAATACAGCAAAAATCTGAGATAGGGATAAAGAGAAATATTCATCATTCTAGCAGAAAATAAAGTATATTAAAAGGTGGGGTTTTTTCCCAGCAAGGGAAGACCTTTATTTAAATATTCTTTTTTAAAAAGAGGACTTTAATATTGAATCTAGTCTGATGCAAATTTTATATCTCAGGAGCTAAAATAAAGCAATTGTTATTTTAGACATTTTTAATTTGCATTTTATTTTCCTCTCATGTATTTGAAGAAATTAGATTTAAAAAAATATCTGGACTGGTCTGTGAAATATGCAGACAAGAAAAAGCTAAATCCATAATTGCCTATACGGAGTTGCACTTTCTCCTGTGGTGAGCAGAAGGCTCGCAAGTGCTGAAAATATTTGCAACTGTTTAATTTGAACTTTAAAGGCAAGCAGAAAAGCGTAAATATTGTGACTGTATCCTGACTGGATTCTAGCACTTGGAGGGGCAAAGGCAGTTCAGCTCTGAGGCAGCTGAACCAGCGTGAGCCCCTCCTCCAGCTCCACAGCTCACGGCTGCATTCGCTGGCTTCGTGGTGCAGTTTCTCTTCCAGTTGGAACTCGAATTGTTTTCCCTCCACATTTTGGCTCCTTGCTTTCGTGATATTTGTAAGAAACTGGTACTGCAAAGATCTCTACTCATGGCACTGCCAAATCTGGTAGAAATGGAGTCAGGGGATACTGGGGAAGGGGGTCCCAAGATCATACACAAGCACCTCCACTGGCACAGGTGTGCACCCACACATGTGCTGAAGACTCATTTCCTCAGGAAACCAGACTGTAAGTCCTCCAGCAAGGTTCTATATTAGACAAGTAATTGCTTTGATTTGAAATTAATAAGGGCTACATGATGGAACTCAACCAGCCAAATTCAGGATGTAAAAACCTCCATGCCGTACAAATTCCTTGTAAAGCAGAAGGTAATGACTCCTAGACTAGATTCCCTTCTGTTCCTCTGGAGCAGAGGGCAGTTAAGCACCAGGGATTGCTTCTAAGACCTTGCTGCTGTTTCTGGTAACTGGCAAAAATATCATTTTTGAAAGAACACAAGTGATGAAGCACCTCAATTTTCATTGCCACATGACTTTGCCTTTCCTAAGACACATTCTTAAAAGAATATCCAGTGGTACTCAGATTCAAAGATGAAATTCTTTTTTCTGAAAAAGGGGGATATGTGCTTTTCTAAGTCATGTTTCTGATTGTTTTATGAAGTGCACTGCTTCAACTGGGAATGCACAAGTGACTGAGCCTGTGCTTGATGAGACTTTGGACTGAAATGTGATGACAGAAAACTATTTCTGCTACACTTCTTCTTCAGGGTATAATGACTTGAAAGCAGATATTGATTGCAGCACAGTGAGATGGCAAAGCTGTACCTAGCAGATAGAATCCCACTGGGACCTCTCTGGAGAATCTCAGGTTTATAAAACTGGAAAAATGAAACTTAAAACAAGACATAACTACCACAATTCTTGTTATTCCATGAAGTACCAAACACTATGTGGCCGTTTGGAAAATAATTCTACCAGAAATGAGCACTTTTAATAAGCCTAGTAAAAAGTGGAAGAAAGCTATACATGACATTAGCACAGTCAATCCTGGAATTTGTACACAGGCCAAGATTTTCTTCCCTCAAAAAAATTACAGATTAACTGGCCCTGCTCTCCTCACAATAGACTGGATGTAAAATTTAATACAGCTGCCACAATTTCTCTGTCCTGGGCTGCAGCAAGATGTGTAAGGATTCAAGACATAGTGAAACATGCATTCATTAAGATGGAAAGTGAATTTATAGTTCATTAATTTCTTTGTAACTGCCGATGCATGTCCCTAGTGAAGCATATAGCAATTGAAAGCATCTATCTCAAAATGGCATGTCACTATACGAGAGCATTGTAATATTCCCAGTGTAATTTCATACAGGAATAAGAATTTGTTTTAAATAGCTTTGCTCTCTGACTAAACTCTGAATAAGAATTTTGGATTAAATGTGAGTTTGAAATAGAAGCACTGTAGAATAATTAATTCATGACTGTGCCACAGTTAGCAATCCAAGGATTTGAAAACCTATATTAACAGAAAAATTGTGGTTTCAGGTTTTCAGGTTATTGTCACCCTTCTCATTCTATAAAGCACTTCAGCTTCAGGTAGTATGTATATATCAATATTACTAATTTCTAAAATACTACCCTTTCATTTTGGATATACTTACTTAAATATTGTAGCCTACATTCTTGGACACACTGAATGTCTCCCTCAGGTCTGTGATTTATGTGAGGAAGAATATTGTCATACTCAGTCTTTTGGGAACCTCTAAACTGCTGTTGTAGAGTACCAATTTTATGGCATACACAGTGTGTTATTCAGCAGGAGAATGGAAATGAAGGTGTGATTTGTCAGATTCTCCCAGGAACACTGCCATTGATGGAATCAAGTTAGCTAGGGAAAACTGCTCAAGAAAACAAATTTGCATTGAAAGATACATTAAACAAGATTAATGTTGCTAAAACCCACCTGTCCTGGGTATCAGGCTGCTCCATTTTGTGCACAGAACTTTTGAAAGGTTTTTTTTAGGCTGGTTTCTGGACAACTGAAGCACTCATTGCCATGCTTAAACCAGAACCAAGGAGTAAATCAGCCAGGCAGTCACCCTAAGGATGGTGAACTCTACTGGAGATCACCCCAAATCCTTTAGTGTCAGTTGTACCTCCAGGAGAAGCACTGCCAAGAGCACAGCAGCAATGCAGGCCCTGGAGAGAAGTCCCCAAGGGAATGCCAAATGCTGCCACTGGGAGCTGTTATCCCACTCTTACAACTCAACAACACCTGTGACAGTGACATTGCTCACAAAGGTGGTCACCAAAAGGGAGCACAACTGCAGCTGACACACTGGGTGCAGCTGTTCTCTAAGTCTTGTTGCAACAAAAAGCAGCTCCTGAGGTGGGAAGGGGGAGTCATGTTGATAACACACAGCATGGGGTGTTCTTAGTGGGCACATGGCAGAGAGACAGAGGGAAAAAAACCATCAGGAAGACAAAGGGTTCATGTCACCTGCACAGGCAAAAACCCCCCAACGTGCCCTGGCTGCCACAGCAGAGCCAGTGCAACATGTACAGAGCAGATGGAAGTTCTTCCCAGTTCCTGGGAACAGCACACGAGCCCCAACAACGGCAGAAAAAGGCACATTATTGACAAGCAGGCAGCTCTCAGTGCTTTGTCTTGTTAAACTAAATAAATTCCACAATGGGAACTGCCATGTAATGGTGCAGCCAAAGAATCTCTCAATGTCAGCCAAAGGTTCTGCAGTGGATTGATGGCAATCTGTGTGTCCCTGAAATAGGCCCAACTCAGAGCAGTTTGAAGAGGACAGCAGCAAATCTCACAGCTATTTTTATAGCAGGAAGAAAGAGTGACACCCCAACTGGACATGGAAAAATGCAAAGATCCTTATTGGCTTTACCTGTCCTGTCCATAGTGAAACCCAAACTAAAACTAGACAAGCATTCAAATGTCAGATTTGAATTCACCAGTAAACTTTTAGACCAAACAGTTTCAGAAAAATTATCACTACTTGTACTATTAAACACAGCCAGAAAATCTGCTTTTCTTATCATCTCACAAAAGCCAACCAACTATAGTTGGTGGTGGGGATGATGTTGTTATTTATGAAGTATTTGCAGATATGACCTTCTGTTATGTAAACAGGAGACTGGTAATTTTCCAGTATTCCAAAAACCTGGCAAGTTTTGGAAAAGTATGTAAAAACTTAGACATTTTGCTGGGATGATTATGTCATTTACCTTGCCTTATCTCTGTGACTGGACAGGGTGCTACATAACCTCACCTAGACTCCCTTTTCCATGAAAGGTTGGAGCAGCTGAACTTTCAGGGTTCCTTCCAACCTGGGCTATTCTGTGATGCTATGATTCTATATGATCTTCTCTCCTTCCCCATGTAAAAAAATGGAAAAAAAAGTGTGTCTACCTGTTATAGAGAAGAATATCAGGCTTCCAAATCAGTCCATCCGGGAAACGGACGTTCTTCACTCCCGGGTACTCAGACACATTCCACTGTAGATAATGATCTGTCCAGTACTAAGCCAGACACACAAAAAGTGGGTTAAGTCATCTCACCCACTGGTTCACTGTAGTTCTCTAGGGACTGGATAGACTAAAACAATAGGTGTTCTCTTGGTTCTGGTTAGCTTCAGGCAGTGAAATGTTTTCGAAGGGTGAATTAGGCCATGAGCAGCTCAATGGAACACATAAAAATCTCATTTTCAATTCCCACTGCAGAGCACAAAACAGCCTATACAAGATCTGGGGTGCTTGTGTTTTACTGTTCATGCTGTCTCAGGTGCCAGTTTGGGGTTGAATTGCTTTTCTAATTCACACAGTTACTACTTCTCTTTTTTTTTTTCATAAATTTTAAGTGCATTTTTACATTTTTACTTATTTCAGAGAACAGTAAAATGACATACATTTACCTTAAGCATGCTTTGAATTTGTCTAGTACCCCATTAATAGACAGTTCATAAGCAAACACTTTTTTTTTGTGTGCATAGGCCAAGAACAGTGGCTACATTTTTTGCAGTAACCAGATGGTCTGCTCATTGCAGTCTTCACACGTCCCATATCCAGTATGGGCTAAGGTGAATAAATCAAAAGAAATGGAGAATGTATAAAATAATCAAGAATTTCCTTGGGGGGAAAAACCAATCTCAGAAAGGATAAGGATGCTATGGGATAAAAGAGAAGGAAAAGAAATGATAGCTTTTTGAGTATGAATTGTTGTCTGTTTTCCTGGTAAGAAATCATAGCAACTATAGTCATTGTAGCTCAAAGCCAAAAACATATTATATTTGACAGTTTTAATCTTACTGTACAACAGGCCTGTAAAAAAAACACGAGTTGAATGCTTCTTCCATGTCAGATTTTCTTTGTGAATAAATGGAATAGCCATGCTACCCTTTATAGGGTCACCAGTGATACACATATATATCACTCATTTGTTTCCTAAGGCCTAGCACAGTGCAAGACAGGTGCCCTATATAAAATGTTACAATAAAAGAAAAAGTAATACACTTAAACTGATTGAGCTGGTTAAAGAAACTGAAAGGTGTAAAGTTTTTGCAGAAGCAGAGAGATTGCCTGGAGTAATAAAAACCTTCTGTAAACCTTTGCTTCACCCAAACAGTGTCAGGGATTTAACTAATGGCAAATTCTCATCCTGGCTGCCACAGATGGAGAAAGCTCCCCATATCACCCTGTGTCTGTAGAGTACAAAGTCATGGCATAAATGGAGTCAGAAAGTTAAGAAGCATCTTGTTAAGTCTAAGGGATAATTTAACCTTTCAGAGAAAAGAATTTCAAAATACCCTCACAAAATTCTTGAACAGCCTATTATTTGTTCCATTTATTAACAAGTGAGTGCAAATTAACTCCTGTCCAGCAATGCCATGAGTTAATGTGGACAAAGTTCTCATCTGGGGCATCCAGTGGTAGCAATAGATAGGGGTAAGTAGTAAGGGAGCATATCAAATTCTGTGACAATTTATGGCAACTAAGAATTGCAACAAAAAGGTAAAATAAAGCTACTGTTCAAAAAATGACCACCCTGTGTGGGCAAAACAAGCTGGGAAACCAGGAAAAATTATACTATTCCCAGCTGGACATTAAGAAACTGATGTTCCAGTTCCTCTGGCAGCTTCTCAAGGAGACAGTCAACAGAGCAAGTGGGATGCAGGGACACTCATGAGGACAGTGGCAGCAGCTCTCAGGGATAATGAACCTCTTTGGAACCATTTTTCCCCATATCAGAAGAGTCAGCTGCCAATTGTCAGAGTGCTGGTCAGAACAGCTAATGCAGATGAAATGCAGTTCTTGCATGTTCTCTGTCACCATCAGGTGATTTACCACAACATCATGGCTTTGTTGAAGTGAGTGAAAGGCACCTGCACCTGCAGTTGCTCAGCCTGGGACTCTCAGGTCACCACTACCCTATGACAAGGGAGACTTTAGTGTGACTGAATCAACTACAGTGAGTTCATAACTTATTTAGGTGTAGTGACTCAAATTCTTTAAAGTTCTCAGAAACACTTGAAACATCTAGACCTAAAGCTCAGCCTTACAGTTTGCCATTCAGTTTAGCTTTGTCCTCTGAGCAGCAAGACATAGAACAAAAGCCTGAGAGTTTTCTAAAATTCAAACCTCTTACCAGATTAAACTCAAATATCAAAGGGGGAAAAACTTGTTTCAAAACTTACCATTTGTAGCCAGATATTTGTTGTTAATACTTGATTCTTTTCATCCTGGGTGGAAGAAGAAGGAGAGGAAGAAGAAAAATAAAACCAACCACAGCTTAGTACCATACAGATAAAACAACACCAGTAAATATATTTGACTATTATAAAATAGCCAGTTGTGCTAAGGTACCTTTCAAAGCAAAGAGAATCACTGCCTCTCACTTAATGCAACAGAAGTTTTCACAGCCAATGATGTTTTAATGTTATTTCACAGGTAATGATGTTTTAATGTTATTTCATATTAGCACTGTCAGTCAAACTGTTTCCTGAGGGTGTCCTTCTGCCAGACTCTTCCCTGGGGCTCCCTCTTCCATAAGGAATCTCCAAAGGCAAGGCAGATCACAGTGGGAGGTGCCTGTTTCACCTCTGTGAGAGGAGCAGCCCTCTCACTAATTAACCTCATACACCAGACATCTGCAGGTAGAGAAAGCAATGAACAAATAAAGTGGGACTAAGCTCAGATGATGTGTTGGGGCCACACTGAGCAGGTTCTCAGCAGGCCAGTAGCACCACTGATCCCAATGGAACTGTACAGAAAGTGTTGTATCAGCTTTAGCAGAAAACTCTTGTCAGGGCAGAATATTATTCTTCTGCCTGGAACAGTTCCAGTTTGAAGGCCTTTCCCCTTGCCTCTTGTGACTATTTGATGTAAGCTCAGGTGACACAATTGGCATCTTAATGCTGAAGGTAATTAAAGAGTTTAATTATTCACTTCTCAGACACAGGAAAACATTGGTGACCTTTTCCTGTGGAGGCACCATCTCAGTATCCCCCTGGGTTGTGTGAAGCTGATGGAATATCCTATATACAGTCAGTATTACACATTCTCCAGTCTGAACACACAGTCCCTGTAACACCAGTCAAAGCTCCACTTACACTCTAAGGAAGTGTCTTAGGAAGTTCAGTCCCATGTGCAGCAGCAGCTGCCAGAGTTGTTCATATGTCTAGACCTCTGAACTTAAATCTGTCACTCTTGAGCTTAAATGTTGTTCCTAAATGCCCAAAGATGGCTAAAAAATATTTAATTGCATTTTGTACCATAAAACCAGCTCTTTTTTTGTTAATACAATTTACTAACAGTCAATATTTTTTTACTCTTGCTGTTGCTTTTGTGAATTTATAACTGAAGAGAGATCCTGAGAGGCCTTTAATTGAAGCCATTTTAGATCAGCACAATAGTAGAAAGTTACACAGCATGTAAAATCAAGTACTCTGCAAGGGATAATGGCATTTTTAAAGAAAAGGAAGCCTTTTGAGAAGCAGCATCAGTAAATATATGGCAGGGTTGCTAGGTTGTGTATAATCACAACTAAATATACAATACACAAACAAATAGAAATATTTTAGATAAAGATCAGTAATGTGCATGAATAAAATCTGCCCTCAAATGCACACTCTTATCTTGCTTTAAAATGAAAAGTAAAATAAAAATATAAATAAGTACAGACCATAGCTAGTGGTTTAGCACCTTTCCTCTATATTTTCTGCTTTATCTCCTCCACAAACCTCAAGTGAACATCTCATTTAAATGGCATCCTAGGGAAACAGGTCTAACAATTTAGTTTCAGAAATCCATTATTAAACTGCATTGAATTTTCATGCTGAAGGCATTGCTGAAGATATCAGGCAAAGCCGTAATTAATTTGCAATAGTAGTTGTTATTCTCTACCAGATAAACATTCATTTGGAGCCTCTCTCAGCAACAACCTGCTTATGGCACTAGAGCACAACAAAATTAGTTTGCATGGGGGTTTTGATTCATGACTAAAGAGCAATCCTTGAGAAATCGTTCATATCACCGTGAATTAAATTCTATCGAGAAGTGTTGCACACTGAGGACATGTGAAATGTTTCTATTCATCACAGCCAATTTTAATCAGAGGTAAATACCACCAATGGTTACTTAACATCCAGAGTTTGACAGCATTTTCTCAAAGCTCTGTGTGCTGTCCCAGATGAACCTGACAAGTTCCTATAATGCAATATCTCAGGTATTGCATGTGAGCAAAGCCAAGAGCAGCACTGCTGGGTGGCTTCTCTGCACAGCAGACAGTAGTTGTGTTGCTTTGCATAACTGGCTACTCAAGAGTGCAGAGCGATTCCGAACCCATTATGTTGTGGGAAGCTTGTTTCAGGGTTATTAGCTGAATGGCACGTCCTCCTGCATGGTTAAACTCTGAGTTAAACTCACATTTTATTCCCAGTGTGATCTCTTTCTACACACGAATGGCCCCAGCTTTAAATTAGTGATGTTTCAGAAAGTCTCTTTTAAGTAGCAGGGAAAAATTGAACTAAAGCAGGAGTGATGCTGATGCTTCAACTACTGATAGGCCATGGGGAGATCTGTCAGCCCTGAGCCCACAGCACAGGCACAGGGGCTATTTTAGGAGTACCAGGATGGAGCTCCACTATCAGCCAGTGCACATCACAGAACCAGAGCCATCACTGAGCAGTCAAACCAGCACAGCTGAGGGCGACAGCAGACTTTTAAACCAGCTGTGCTGCTGGCAGAATGATTCAGCTGCCACTGCCAGGCAGCTGGACACTGGCAGAGTTACCACGGGTTTGCCTGCAGGAGACCCTGCAGACACGTTCTGAAAGCCAGGAGTTACTCTGAAGTGTGATCTTTCCCTCAAACCTACCCAGGAGAAGCTGTCCTGAGAGCACTGACTCAAACAGAACTTGTGTAGTGAACACGAGCCCTAAGTAAGAAATGTGTTAACTGTTGGCTTTCAAAGGGATGTCAGCACATGTAGTATCCACACTAGAAAAGTTATGCAGGAAAAAGAAAGGGGAGAAAGAAGTAAAATAAGCCTGCATGCCAACAGACTGGCAGGCAGTGATGTGCAGAACCTGGCAAGAGACACGTGCTTCCCAGAAAACTTGCATGAGGTGACTGAAGTCTATTAGCTGTAATTCTTGCACTTCAAATCCAGATTCTTTCTTTTAACACGGTTGAATCTCACCTAAATTACAGAAAAAGTAACGGCTCTTTGAACTCGGCTTCAATTACTTTGAACCTTAATAAAAGGCTTTGTAAAAACATTTTAAGATATCACCTGTTACAGCATAATGCTGAGTTCCTGAAGCTAATAATTGTAGTCTGAAGTTAAAAATAGCCTGGCAGCCACTGAGAGACATGTAAGACACTCCCATTACAGATTTTCACTTTTATTTGCTTGAATGTCATCCTACTGAAAGCAGCAGGTTAGTCAGTTCATTAGCTCTTATTGTCTCAGCACTTGCTCATTAAACATTCCCAACATCATTTGGTTCACAAAGCCAAATTACCTGTGCCTAATGACATTTTCTCCCCCATCATTTAAAACCCTGTTATGTCTAGTTTCTGCTTCACCTAGCTTGGGGTTTTCTTCCTGTTCATTTTTAGGGTCATTTACTGAGCTCACTAAACTGTATCAAGTGAAAAAGCCTGAATTCTTAAAGGATTAGTGCTGAGAGGGTGGGCTGGAGGGTGGGTTAAGCACTCATCAAATGGCCAGGTGACAAAAGATTGATGCTGTGTCCACACTTCAGGCAGCCACAATGGCAAGATGAATGTGAGATCCTCAAAAGTTACAGAGAGCAGAGAAAGGGCTGGACTTGTGCATTCCTGCCCATCGTCCTGGTGCACACCAGCACCCTGTGGCCAACCTCCAGGAGGCCAGAGCAGGCTGTGGTCCAGCTTCACCCACCTGCATCCTGTCTGAAAGCCCTACAGTGGCCTCCTAATCTTCATAACACTAAGGCTACACAGGGGTCTACTGCACTTCTCCCCTCCTCACATGCCAAGGTCAAAGCTAAACCTTTCTGTTAAAGGTGGCTCAAGGCTCCTTAGTACTGCAGGCAACATTGAATTTTGGTGTCTCAGGGGTGAGGATAAAAATCAGTTACTTAAAAAAAACAGCCTGGAGCTTCTGCAAGGACACTGAAATGAAGATGCAGCTGCTTGCTGAGGACCACTCTGATCATCCAGAGGTGGGAGCTGCAGCACCAGCAAGTCTCAATTCTGAAGAACACAGTAGAGGGTTCAGAGTGGGGCTGCCCCACCGTGGGTTTGCAGTCATTACTCCCAAAGCCACATTGCTAAAAGGCAAGATAAATTAAAATGCAAATTTGAATGGAGTCAAGAATTTTGGGGGAGGCTGCACAGAAAAGCTACACCACGGGTTGTCAATGTGAAATAGGTTTCTCAAGCAACATCAGGCAGTGTACAGGATTAGGGAAATGAAAGAAATTTGAACTCCTGATATCTCTTCCCCACCTGACTTCCCTTTCACCATGAAAGGAATAGGTTACTGCAATTTCCCCTCACTTCTGCAGTAGTCAGCAAGAGACCTTTTTATCACAGGAAAATGGTTTTGACTCAGCTTACAGCACACATTTCCAATTATGCAGAAAATGTTGTATAAACAGGCATTGCCAGTGTATAAATAATATTAATAATATTCCATGATCCAGCATGTGAGATTCAACAGCAGGAACAGACCACAGAATGTTTCTGATTTCTTGAAAATAGGTGCAAAAAAACAGAAAATGATTCAATAAAATGTCAGAAGTGGAAAATAAAAATTTTCACTGTTTCACTGCATTTTTGAGACCACTTCAAACTTGAACACACATTTCTATTTGGTGATCTAAATTTTGCCATGTTGGTGACATTTTTGTATGAAAGGAGAACTCTGGCATCTATGACTTGATCTTGTAGTGGTACAGCCCTGGGAAGCAACACTCCTTCAAAATCACAGCAGCTGTTGCAAACTGTTGTTCAAAGGGAGTTTAAGATGATGTATCACTTCACTGCCCAACCAATGGTGCACCAATCCTGCATGCCTTGGCCTTGCTTTAGACCAGCCTTACATCAGCTGCTAATTTGCCTTGATTCTGTTGGTGCTGAGCAGCTCCTGAAAGTTGCTCTTCATTATTTTATACTCAGCTCTGATCCAGTGACGTCAGTGAAAGCTGAAGGTGTTTGGGACATCACCTTCTTTTCCACATTCCACTTCAAA